ACTAGAGAATCTGGATAATTTGTCCTCCTACACCAGCATCAACTTTTTTTGAAGCGTTACATATAGAAGATGGAAATTTCACACCTTCCCACATGCCTTAGGCAAGCAACTTGAGATCAGGTGCCTGTACTGAAAAGGTTTTCCTTATTGCCATCCTAAATGTCTCTTTCTTGCCTTGTCTTTAATGGGCAGTGGATAGAGTTTGCTTCCTCTTTGCTGTGCCATTTTTTCACATAGGAAGTCTGTTCTCCTGTCTTCCCTTGGTCATGCTGCACAAGGAAATGTACATTCAAATATGAAGAGTAAAGAAAAGCTCCAAGAGCAAAGCTAGCCTATTTAATAGAGTAAAGCTGAGGTCAATGAAGATAAGAAGGAAAATCTGAAATCCCTCCTGGTGTTCTAGAAGGAGAAGCACTGAGTTTGAGAAAAGGATGTAACAAAATATAATGCAAGTTTCAAGTTGTTGAGTTTTATTGCTGTTACTTTGTTTTGTTTATGTGGGTTTTTTTTAAACAAAACTGAAAAACAAAAGGAATCTGATAAGGTTTATACTGTGATATTCCTGGAGCTAGGGTGAATGTGAAGGCAGTGATAGAGAGTGCTGGATTCCTAGGGGATGGTTAGGTGAAGATGGAAAGGCCACTGTGGTTAGAAATGTGATGCGTGTTTCTTACATTCATTTTGTGTTGGTTTTGGTTTATAGAGGAAATTAATTGATAACTTTTGATGCTTAGGAGAGGGAGAGTAGAGGCTTGAGATTCTTTTCATTGAATTAGACTTGTACAAATGCATACTCTGTTACTTAATTGGATTTGCAATTGCATAGTTGGCACAATCCACAACCAAGAGTTGTTTTGTCATTGGTACCTATGTTTCAGATTTGAGGATATCAGGGCTCCTCAGCATCCCATCAGGGAGAACGACACAGAGCAGGATAATTGACCACAGGGGAAGGAGCAGCGATGGGTAAAGGGAAAGCAGTGGTATGGGTTCACATGAAGCTTCAGAGGGAGGGTGGGCAGGGAGATGTGCAGAAAGCAGAGGGACAGAGAATACAGCTGCACTTGGACCAGAACATTTGATTTGTTACAAAAACTCAACACTATGTCTCCAAATCAGTGTGAGTCTGTATATATGTGAGCTTTCACCTGCCTGGAGAGGATATAGAGGGACTACTGTGGATCAGAGCTGAGCCTGCTTTTCTCTTGGGAGTCCAGTTTTCCGGCCTTTGCAGCAGTTCTGGGCTGAGACGCTGTTCAGCATCTGCTGTAGAAAACTGGTTGGTCATTTAGTGCTGGTTCCTCTTTATCTGCAGCAACATGAAAGATTCATTGTAAGACTTCCCCAACACCACGTACTTTGTGGAAGCAGTTAATACAATTACCGTAGAAATGTTGAACGAGTGACTTTCATGAATTAAATTCACTTTATGATTGCAAGACCTAGTCTCATCATAATATTTGAAAGATAGTATGAAAGAACTCATGAAATGTTTAAAGAAAAGCTTTTTTAGAAAATTGATTTTGATTCCTTGGAAGTGGAATCCCTGGGAAGTAGAAACCATGCTGATAAAGAGTATTTTAGAAAATGACATTCAAAATGGCTAAGGTTTATTCTTCAAAAGGAAGAATAGGTACTGATGACTCTTCATGGCTAATGGAATACATGTCTGGTTGTGGAGAGATGTGCATATGTCTATTTTTGAATAGCACAGTACACAAAGAAAGGTCTTCTGTGAGCTTTGAACAGACAGCTCAATGAAATGCCAAATCTGGTCCTGGATATGGCTATAGGTAACTTCAGGTAGGGCATAGACCTTCACACTAGTTTTTGAGGTGTCAGAATTTCATTATGTGACCCAGTAAATCACCTGTATGTGTAGGATGTGCATTTGCTGGAGTGCAAAGCAGCTGTCTGCTGGCTGTTGTTAAGCAAGAAGCATCTTTCAGCAATGAACAGAACCAAGAGAAACATCCAGTGCATAGAATGCTTATAAATGCTGTCACATGTGCATGACAGGAGTTGTTACCTTGGCCAGTACTTAGGATCTATATAGGTTATTTAAAGATTCCAGAAACTTCTGAGTTTAAGCAACAGAAAAGGAAGGAAAAAAAAAAGAAAGATATAATTGAGCACTCAGTACATCAAGGAATATAACTAAATTTATGCCTAGTTTTAAAATTAGTTTACAGTTCTCAGGGGTGAGATTCAGCTCCAAACTGACACCTCCATTTTGGTGTCTGTGTGTAGTATGCTGTGAGCCAGGGGGTTGCCAGGCCTCCCAACAGTCAGTGGAGTTGGAGCTAATGTCAGTGGAGCCTGGGGAATAATTCATTTTACTTCAATGCAGAAGCCTCCTGGCTGTCTAGCTCAACAGCCACGAAGCATCTATTTGCTCATGTAATTTCCTAAATCAAATAATGTACAGCAAGGAAATAATATAAAAACAATTGAATTTGTGGTGTCAACATGAAATGTTCTTATAAAATGCAAAGAAATGCAACAAAGCAGCTGATAAATAAGAAGTTCCTGAATAATTTTAGGCTACTTGTAAGGTGGCCATTTTATTTATTACACATTATTATATTAGCTATTTGTTAGATATATTGACGCACTCTTATATCTGTTTTCAATTACATGTTAAACATTTTTTTAAAATTAGTGAAAAGTAGGATGATTTTGTGCATCAGAGTAATTATTTGTAGTAATCCATTAATTGATACAAGCCATTACTGATACATTATTTGACTAAACACCAAGAGCCTGACATTATTTTTTCTCAGTTACAGAATTTAAATTAATTTTAAAACATTGTAATGTAATTCTCAAAAACACAAAGTTCTTGGCCAAAAAATTGACATGAATCAAATCCATGTATGCTTATTTTACTGACAAATTGAAACATTAATATTTTGTCTTAATGTTTCCTTTAAATATACTTTGTCAGGAAAGAAACCAGAACATGCAATTTTTCAAACATCAATAATTGATACGCTTTGTGGTACTTAATTAATCCCTTATTGCTTTCAGGTGCATGAATTAAATGAATAATGAAGTTTAATTAAAATAGATGTATATATTTAATATTTTCTTGTCTTTATTTTTGAAATATTTTTATCTTTTTTTTACCTATGGAAGGTTTTTTAAAAGATTAGCTAAGGAATGGAAAAGGTAGTTTACACCAATTTTGCTTTAATTATCAATGCAATTTTTGACATAGAACATCTAGTCTGTCAGGAAGCTGGAAACAAAAGAAGGGCTAAGAGGAATCTCCGTCCTTTGTTAAATGTGTGAGGAAACATAGGGACAAAGGATGAGGAAAATCCTGAGGTACTTAATGCCTTCTTTGCCTCAGTCTTTAATAGCAAGATCAGTTGTTCTCTGGGTATTAGTGCCCTGAGCTGGAAGACAGGAAGAGGGAGCAGAATGAAACTCCCATAATCAAAGGGGAAATGTTCAGCACCTGCCACAGCACTTAGACACATATGAGTCTATGGGGCCAGATGGAATTCACCCAAGGGTACTGAGGGAGCTGGGGAAGTACTCACTGAGCCACTTTTCATCATCTACTGGTGGTCCTGGCTAACTGGGAGGGTCCCAGGTGGCTGGAAGCTGGCAAATGTGATGCCCATCTAGAAGAGGGGCTGGAAGGAGGAGCCAGGGCACTAGAGATTGACTAACCTGATCTTCTATGATATACACTTTGTGAAAGAGGGAAAGACTGTAGATGCTGTCTACCCAGACTTTAGTAGAGCCTTTGACGCTGTTTCCCACAGCATCTTCCTGGAGAAACTGGCTGCTTATGGCTTGGATGGGGACACTGTTGCTGAGTCAAAAACTGGCTGAGTGGCTGGGCCCAGAGAGTTGTGATGAATGGTGCTACATCCAGAGGGCAAACAGTCACTAGTGCGGTTTGCCAGGGCTCAGTATTGGGATGAATCCTGTTTAATATCTCTATTGATGATCTGGAGGAGGGAACCAAGAGCACCCTCAGCCAGTTTGCAGAGACCCCAATTTGCATGGGAATGTTGATTTGCTTGAGGGCAGGAAGGCTTTGCAGAGGGATCTGGGCAGACTGGATTGATGGGCTGAGACCAATTGTGTGAAGTTCAACAAGACCAAGTGCTGGTTCCTGTGCTTGTGTCACAACAACCCCAGGCAGTGCTATAGGCTGGGGCAGAGTGGCTGGAAAACTGCCCAGTGGAAAAGGACATGGGGGTGCTGGTTGATAGCAGCTGAATATGAGCCAGCAGTGCGTCCTGGTGGCCAAATGGCCAATGGAATCCTGGCTTGTATCAGAAATAATGTGGCCAACAGGACCAGGGCAGAGATCATTCCTCTGGTGAGGCCACACCTCAAATTCTGTGTTTTCAGTTTTTCACTACAAGAAAGACACTGAGGTGCTGGGGCATGTCCAGAGAAGGGCAATGGAGCTGGTGAAGGAGGTGGAACACAAGTCATATAAGGAGTGGCTGAGGGAGCTGGGGTTGTTTAGCTTGGTAAAAAGGAGTCTCAGGGAAGACCTTATTGCTTTCTACAACTACCTGAAAGGAGGCTGTAGCAAGGTAGGGGTTGGTCTCTTCTCCCAGGTAACAAGTGACAGGACAAGAGGAAATGGCCTCAATTTGTGCCGGGGAAGGTTTATATCGAACATTAGGAAAAATATCTTCACAGAAAGGATTGTTAAGCATTGGAACACACTGCCCAGAGAAGTGGCTGAGTCACCATCCCTGATGATCTCTAAAAGACGTGTAGATGTGGTGTTTAGGGTCATGGTTTAGTAGTGGACTTGGCAGTGCTGGGTTAACAGTTGGACTTGATGATCTTAAAGATCTTTCCAACCTAAACAATTCTATGAATCTTTGAAGTTCTGTGGTGTTACACCTCTCACATGTTTTTCTCATCACCTCTTTTCCCTGTACCTCTAAAATACCCCCTTTAAGCATTTCCCTGCTCTTGATCTGACTCTTTTCTCTGAAATCTTTCACATTTTGCTGAAGATACCTCGGATAATCCTCACGCGCCCTTCCACTTCTGATGAAGATACCGACCAGTTGCCCCCAGACCCTGAAGACTTTGAGCCTGAGGAGCCTGGCGGCGCAGGAGGCCATGCCTATTCGGACTGTCTGAGCAGCGCTTTTTATCCTCCCTAATAAAGTACTTCTCTGGAAAGAGTTAATGGGTGATTTTCTCTCCCATTGTTTGATTACATTTAGTGTAGTACTTGAACCACTATGCCTTATTTATAGCGAAAACCATTAAATGGAGGAAGGATTTGAGCTGGGGGAGCAGAACCCTGTTTGTTTTTCTTTGCCTTGAACTTTCCTTTGGCCAGCACTTGAAACAAAATGCACTGGGTAAAGTTATGTGAATGTCACCATGTGTTTCAGTATCCACTTGTGAGTGTCCTACAGCACCTAAATACAATGATGAAAAAAGCAGGTGATTTTTATTCAGAAGGTACTTTACCCATTTGGAAACACAGTGAAAATAATTGTATAGTTGGTTGGTTTTTTTAAAATCTTGTGTCCATCCTTTTATCTGCCCCCATGTTCTTTTGAATTATCCCTTTTAATGTTGTTTTCTATGAGAATTAAAAAAAAAATTCTGTCTTTAATAGTGCTGGGGTTTTTTACCCACAGAGAAATGTTATTTGTGTTGGAATTCTGTATCTCATTCTAGTGTAATAAAGAATAGTTTCTCCAGGTATATCAGTAATGTGAATATATATCAGATTTGAACAAGACCTGTAAGTTGCATTTTATTAGATCGAAATGCAGGAGGCACCTTATGCAACTATGTACCTGAGAGTGAACTGAGAAGCAATTTCTTATGCTTGAGGAACTGTCTGAGACTCTTTTATTTCTCCTCCTGATTTGCATATAAGCAGAGCACCTTTAATTTGCCTTACTGCAGTATGCCAGTATTTCATGTATGTATGTGTGTGTGTATATATGAGGTAAGCATTTAAAAGAAAATGTTCCTGTACAAGTGTTCAATCCTTTAATTCTCTTCACTGCTATTCAGATTTCTAGTGCATTTTGAGATGTTTAATAAACATATGTAGAGTTCCAAAGTACTGCCTTAACTCAGAGGTGAGGTCTGGCCCTGCTAGACTGGAATGTCATTACTTCCTTTTCATGTACATGAAGTGTGCATTGATGGTTTTTATGATGTTTATACAGTTTCTTTTCCTGTAAATATAATATAGCACAACTCTGGCCTGGTAAATCCCATCTTTTATTCCCATTCTGAAAGATTTCTAAAGTGATCATTCATATATAACTTCAATGAATGCTGACATGTGGCTTTTCCAGAATTATGAAGTTCCCAGGAGAGTATGGCTGTCACAGAGTTAGAACAACATCTCCTACTGACAAAACAGATATTTTATTTTGAAAAGATAGGTTTGTAATAACACTATGATATCATGTCAACTGCATCCACTGTGGTTTTTTCATTATCTTGTACATCTGCATTTTAATTGAAGATAGCAGTAGGAATATTAAGCTAGTTTCTTTCATTTGCAAAATGAACATCTTAGAATCTGCTATGACTTTAATATTAAAGACTATATTATGTGCATAAGCATTATCTTAAATGATGTTGATAAATGAAATAATATTAAAATGTTTGCTTCCCATCCCTTTTCTTCCTCCAAAATAAACAGGGTTCTTCCACCATGACTTAATGTTTGATCAATGCATATTGCAAAAATATCAACCTCAGAACCCACAAACACTTTGGCAATCTAGCTAGTACTGTACAGTTTATTACTGTTTTTTTGTCTCTTACTACACTGCAGAAAAAAATAAACTCAGCTGTTATAAACCAACCCTTGGCTGCAGAATAAGTAGTAATTGAGAGTTAGTAAAATAAGAGTTCTGTTGAGAACTCTGTATTGTATTTTTTTTCCTTCTCATAGATAGGTGTGTCAAAACGTTTGCTATCAAAATTCCAATCTTTTAACCAAATGCTGTTGCCATTCAGGAAACTTTTAAACACTTAGATATTTATCTGTTCTTTTCAACTGAACTTTTTTTCAAGGCAAACTTCATATGGCAGTGTAGAGAATTTTGCTGTAGTTATAAACTTACAGTAGTAACCTCTCTATGGAAAAAAATTGAACACACATTGACAAATGAACCCAAATACTTATGTAAATGGACACACAGCTCTGCAAAATATATCAATCAAAGCCTATGCTTATTCAAGTTTTTATTATGAAAAAATCTCCGCAGTAGCAGGTGATTATGTTCCGCTTTTGTTCTGCAAAAGAGGGGCAGAGGTGCGGGTCAGATGCTGGTGTCCTTATCAGCGTTACTGAGTAATGTCTCTTTTGAGGTTTGGCTGTTCGATAAGAGTGGGCAGAGACAGAAGGTGGAGACGGTGGGATGGGAGTTGGTCTGTTAATGACAGCTCATATCCTGTGCTCTTGCTTCCTGGTGACCTGGGAAGTGACTCAAAAAAACCCACTGCCTGGCTATGGAGCAGCCACTCATTTTCTATACGGAACAGCTGCCACATCATTTAAAAGATAGCTACAAAGGTATTTAATACTTTCCTAATTAGTCACTTCTCATCATTTTCACATCCATCGTTGTGGAGGAAGGGATGGCAAACAGTACCAATAAATATGGGAGGGAAGATTTTTTTTGTGTGTGTGTAACTCATCTATTGAAATATATTTTACAGCCCAGGATAATTTGGTTTGCTGGGATATAGCAGTAATATTCAGGGACATCATGTATATATAGCTGAAACAATGGGTATTTGACAGAAAAGAGATCTGTTGTTCCACTCCCGTATGTACTCCTGGAGGACAGCAGATGTAGGATCTTGCCAGCACAAGGATAGTCCACTTCAGAACAATTGACTTAGAAGACCTGCAAAGAGAAGAAAGTGCTTACAGCTTACATGGACTTCCACGTCAGAAAAGGCTCAGAGCTCTTGGAATCAATTTGCTATAATGTTGAAATAACCTTCCTAGTTTTCATGCTCAAATGTATACAAACTTGTCCCTTTGGAGAAACTTTGTCAAGGAGCCTCTTGCTCCCTGTACGTGACACGTAGGATTCTGCTTCCTCACATGTAAAGCAGAGACTGGCAGTGCCTGTGATGTTTTCCTCCTTTTCCACGCCTGCCACCTCCTGCTCCCTGAGTGTTTGCAGAGCGATCGGGGTGGACCCGGGAGTGACAGCAGCAGCTGCCGGGTGCCATGGCAGGAATGTGGACCCACCTCTCTTAAGGATCAGCTTCCCACCCTTGGCTCCTGGCTGCCTGGAAGGTAAGCCTGCTTTGTATTACTGTCCAGTACTCTGCTGTGCTCTTAATTTCTGCAAGGATCATGCCATGAAATGCCAGCTAGAAACGCTGCTGGGGTCCTGTCATTTCCAGGCATGTGCATGTGACCCTGGGTTCATGTGACCTGGAGTAACATAGGGATTGCTTGCTGGTGTTGCACGATGGGACTGAGAGAAGGGTGAGCACCAGAAATAACTCGGAAAGCTCAACTTGTGGCATCTGCCAGACTGGCAGTTACAAGTAGTGAGGCAGCCTACTGAGTTTTGTGGTTGTTTTTTCTTTCAACTTTTTGATTTAAGTGTGGGACGGGAACTCTCTCCACATTAGACTTTTAAAAATCACTGTGGGTGTGATTTCTGTATTACTCTTAGGGTTTTTAGCTGATATATGTGACTTAAGTCACATAGGTTTCAACTGAGTATAATATAATTGACCACATCAGGGTCAGACTTAACACTTCTAACTGTTGAAAGCTTATGGTGTGTCTAATGCAGAGCAAATAAAAGCTATGGGCTTAAGAGCAGGAGTGCAGATGTGTGATGTGTGGTGCAGCCATTGGCTGGCAGCCCTGGGCTACCACTGAGCCAGGCTGGAAATGAAAATAGGCAAAGTAAAAGAATTATGGAAGCCACATGAGTGAAAACAGCTAAGAGTGACAGGCACACATCATGATAGTCACTGGCTTCATTCTCTAACAACAGCAGATCAAATGAGCACAGAAAATACATCTGCTTGAACGGCTTCTTTACACAATACTGCTATTTGGGATATTCAGCACTTGCCTCTTACAAAAGAACTCACAGCCTTCCCCCTCATCAACTTCATCTCTTGGCCTCTTGTTAGGTCCTGCTCTGAGAAGAAAAACAAGTGTCAAGAGAGGAGTGACTGTAATAAAAAGAATTAATCGAAAATAGCACAGTAATTTAGGCAATGTCTAGAACATGCTTTTACTCAGCACCTCTTTGCTATGTTTTCCCTAGCAAAGTAAAACAGGAAATATACAGTTACTGTCTCAGAAAGTCCCTGGAGTAGAATAACCATTATTTCTATGTAAGAAATAATATACTCTCATTATTATATAAAACCAAATTCTCATATGGTTAGGATCATGGTCTTTCCTCAGGTTTAGTGGTGAAATATCATACTGAGCAAGCTGTGGTAGATAATAAGGTGATGTCAACTTTTCTATGATCTCTCCAGCGTCCTTATATAATTCAGGCTACAGAAGAGCCCTGCATCCAGTATTTCCTGGGCTCCCTGATTTAAGCATGATGGCATGAAGTTTGGTGTCATACTCTCTTGCATTCACAGCTTTTTTTTTTCCTGTTCCCATCTCCAATGCAGTTTGCTTCAACTCCCTTGCAGTTGCACAGTGAGCAGCATGATGCATCCAGAATATAAATTTCCATTCATGAGAAGTGGAGCTTCTCAAGTGAATGCTATTAGGTGCTTTTACAAGAATGCTAAGGGAAAACCTACTTGTGAAACTACATACACTCATCACCATCTTACGTTAAAATTATTTAGTACAGTCACTCCAATAGTCGCTTCCTTGGGTCTTTCTGTAGTGATCATCTTTGACATGGGTGAGCTGACACATGGAAACAGTATAAGACCCTGAAAGTAGAGACAATAAACGTGATTGAAGATGAAGTTTTAGCGTAGTTAGGATGAGTGCTTAGTAACACATGGCACAAATGCCAGATAAAAATCTGCCATTGCTTGCTTATATATGTCTCGAGTCCTGTATTGCTGCTTCATTGCTCTACTGACAGCCTGTTCCTTTAGGACATGGATATCTGCTCCCCAGCCTGAGGAGGGAGTGACTCTCTGGGAGCTGACGTTTGGAAGCCTGCTGCCAACCAGGGTATCCCTACCACTAGTGGGACAGGGCTGGGAGCACACTAAGCAGAAGCAGTTGAATGTGACCACCTGAGATGCTCCAGTCCTTGTCTGTGATTGAAAACTATTGCAAATGGACAGGTTAATGGGAGTGGAGGTGCTTCAGGTTTTTTCACCTCCCATAGGAATGGTCAGTAACAGTAAGCAGCAGTGTAATGTAAGCTGCAGTTTGGATCCCACTGAAGACCTCCTTTGAGGTCAGTAAGTGGTGCAAAGACATTATGCAAATTTCTTGCCTCAGGGATAAGTTTCAACCTCACAGAAAAGATTTTGGAGATATGAACTTCTTATTACTGCTTGCCTTCTTGCTGAAGAGTAGAGAACTGCAGCTTTCCTCTGGGTATTATGTTGCTTACTTTAGTTCCTTTTATCCCAGCATTTCCAGGAGACACAGTGGGGTGTATTTTTACTTTCATGACATCAAGCTCACAT